AGAGAGGTCAGGTGACACCTGCAAGGCTGGCCCTGGTGGAGGGTGAATGGCTCGTGGGCTCCTGAGAGTCTCAGCAGCACGCAGCGCCAGCAAGCACACAGGCTGGCCCTCACTTCTCCCCCAGCCCGAGAGACTGGGCCCAGCACCTTACCTCTGTTTGCTGACGTGACGTCCAGGCACCTTTGACCATTAGGGCTGTGATACCACAGAAAACATCTCCACCCGCCCATGAACACAGATCCCCAGACACAGAACAGTGGGCCAGGCTAAGACACTGCTCTCTGGTGGAGATGGGGACAAGAATGGGGCCATGTGCCCTGCCTGGGAGCAGCAAACAATTGAAGTAGTCAAATAGGGAAGGCTGGGTACCATAAGTGTGTGTGGAGGGCACCGTCCATCAAAGAAAGGGCTGTCCAGAAACTGAGCCTCAAGCAAGACTGATTCCTTACAATAACCACATGAGTGGCTAGCGTTGATTAAGTGCACCTTATCCTGGGCCTGCCATTGCTCTAAGTGCCTTCTATCAACTCGTGGAGTCTTCAAAATAACACTATGATATGGGTATTTTCTTCCCAATTTACAGATAAGGAAACTGAGGCGTGAAACCAGCCCAATATCCCACAGTAGGCAGTGCAGCTAAGTTGACCCTGTGCTAGATGGGTGTGCTCATCACTGACAACTCTCCAAGTTCCCTCGTCCTCCCTCTCCCTCCCTCCTCTCCCCTGACTCTCATGAACGGAGCTAGTAAGTCACCCCCGTCGGAGACGTCTAGCCGTGGGTCCTGCGGGAAGCACCCCCACTGGGTACTGCAAGGCCAGGAGGTGCACAGCAGCTGCAGGCCCACTGCCCCCTCAGGAAACTGCTGCGAGTCCCCGAGGCTCCCGACACATAAACTAACAGCACTCATGGTCACAGAGACTAGGCAGGGAGGGCCCCCGACGCCTCCTTCTGCCGAGCACACACCTCCCACTCAGTGAATCGCCGACCTGTGTTCCCTGGCTCCTTCTTAGCACTCATCTCCTTTCATGTCCGACTGGCCTCTGACTAAAAACTCCCTGAGAGCAGTGACTATGTCTGTCTTCTCCGTTGCTGAAATCCCAGAATTCAGTGTAGACTTTCACATATAAGTAGGTGCTCAATTGACAGCTGTTATGTAATCAGGTGGATGAATGGCTGAATGGATAATGTGGATAAATTTTCCATACTGAATAGTGTAAAATCCCACCAACGAGGGCCTCTCTCAGGTGGAGAGACAAGAAACACGAGCAGATAGTGCGGGTGAGCTGGAATCTACATGGGGAGACGTCCACAGTCCCATTCCTGTCCTGGAGGAACCATGTGGCTGATGAGACCATTTCCCTCCACCCCCCTTCCCACACACGCCTGCAGTGAAGGCTCCACCCCCTTCCCACACACGCCTGCAGTGAAGGCTCCACCCACTTCCCACACATGCCTGCAGTGAAGGCTCCACCCACTTCCCACACACGCCTGCAATGAAGGCTCCACCCCCTTCCCACACACCCCTGCAGTGAAGGCTCCACACCCTTCACACACACACACACACACACACACACACACACACACACGCCTGCAGTGAAGGCTCCACCCACTTCCCCACACATGCCTGCAATGAAGGCTCCACCCCCCTTCCCACACACGCCTGCAATGAAGGCTCCACCCACTTCCCACACATGCCTGCAATGAAGGCTCCACCCACTTCCACACACGCCTGCAGTAAAGGCTCCACCCCCCTTCCCACACATGCCTGCAGTTAAGCTCCACCCCCCTCCCACACACACCTTCAGGTAAACCCCACTCCAGCTAAGGCAGTGGCTCTCAACCTGTGGGTCGTGACCCCTTTGGGGGTCGAACGACCCTTTCACAGGGGTCGCCTAAGACCATTGGAAAACACATTCCAGCCATACTGAACTCCAGGCACTGCCCGCATGCATCCCGCTCCCCACTCCCGGCCTTTGCACATGGGATTCCTCGGCCTGAAGCATTCTTCCCCCAATTACTGTTTGCCTTGCTAACTGTGTCCACTTGTCCTTGAGTCTCAACAGATACCACCATCTAAGGTATCCCAACGAGCTTTCCTCTGCGGCCTGAAGAGTCCAGCTGGCACTCAGTGACATCTCACCACATTCCTGTGTCAGACCAAGCTGAGGGCCAAAGGAATCGCTCTAAGACGCAGAATTCCAGGCAAAGGGGAGCCAAGGCAAGAGGCTGTCTAACGTCCTCAGACCTTACCAGGAGCGATGGGAACTATCGGGGAACCATCAGCCAGACAGAGAGCAGCGGCCTTAGCTGTAAAGGGGCCTCCACATCCCTCACTGCTGCCCCAGAGGCAGCTCTACCGCACCCCATGGTGCTGTTTCCCCAACACCCCACAGCCCCGCGCCCTGCAGGGCTGGGTTCAGAGCACATTGGAAACTGTCTGGCTCCACTTGTAGATTGACTCAGCTCGCAGTAACTAACCTCTCCAGCCCCAAGTCTTGGAGTACCTCCAGACACACACACACACACACACACACACACACACACACACAGCTCCAGCCATACTGAACTCCAGGCACTGCCCACATGCATCCCGCTCCCCACTCCCAGCCTTTGCACATGGAATTCCTCGGCCTGAAGCATTCTTCCCCCAATTACTGTTTGCCTTGCTGTGTCCACTTGTCCTTGAGTCTCAACAGATACCACCTCTTCCTGGAAGCCCTCCCTGACCTATTCCCCAAGATTTGAACAAATGTCTTCTTATATACTCTCAGAATCACCTGGCAGTCCCTGATGGTGGCATCTCCACCCTTTTGCAATGCCTGTATTCACCTCTGTCCTCCTAGTGAGGTCATGAGCTCCTTGAAGGAAAAACTAACCAGCACTCACTGTTGTGACTCTAGCACCTAATGTTCAATGAATATGTTGAGCAAATGAGCAGAGGAGTGAGAGAGTGGACGCACAGCACAGGCCTCTCCTGCTGGCACCTCCCTGCCTGCCCTGAAGGTCTTCACTCAGCCACCCCCAAAGTCTTGAGGCCACAGGACAAAAATCAAGTAACCTCGAAAGCAATCATCGGCAAGTGGAGACAGCAGCTAAAATTAATGTAATTTCTAACAGGACAAGGACCTCCCAGCAGACAATCCTCAATGAACTCCCACAGGCCCTGCATGTGAGGCCTAGCAGCGGCCTTGCTGTAAAGGGGCCTCCACAGCCCTCACTGCTGCCCCAGAGGCAGCTCTACCGCACCCCATGGTGCTGTTTCCCCAACACCCCGCAGCCCCGTGCCCTGCAGGGCTGGGTTCAGAGCACATTAGAAACTGTCTGGCTCCACTTGTAGATTGACTCAGTTCGCAGTAACTAACCTCTCCAGCCCCAAGTCTTGGAGTACGAGACCGGCTCTGCAGAACCGCCCGGGCGCTGGCGCGCTGGCACGAGGCCCTTCCAGCGAGATGTTCAAACTGTGCCTCCCAGACCCCCAGGGGTAGCGGCACCTCCCAGGTTGCCAGGTTGGCAAATGCAGTAATGCACGGAACACAGCGCGGGACGGCGCATGCGGGACGCAATAGCTAAATGCTCTCTTGGTGCGGGCTGCCGGGACCAGGGTTACGGCTCCCCCGACTGCACTGCGACTTAACCACGGCCCTCCTAACCTGCCCACTCCGGCAGCACCGGGCCCTGCCCTCACAGCTCCTGAGCCACGTCCCTCCATCACGCAGATTCGTGTA